AGCACCTCTGACCCAGCAAGTACTCAGCACCTCTACCCACCAGGCACCCAGCACCTCTACCCACCAGGCACCCAGCACCTCTAGCCTACCAAGTACTCAGCACCTCTACTCACCAGGCACCCAGCACCTCTACCCACCAGGCGCCCAGCACCTCTACCCACCAGACACCCAGCACCTCTGACCCAGCAAGTACTCAGCACCTCTACCCACCAGACACCCAGCACCTCTACCCACCAGGCACCCAGCACCTCTGACCCAGCAAGTACTCAGCACCTCTACCCACCAGGCACCCAGCACCTCTACTCACCAGGTGCCCAGCACCTCTGACCCACCAGGCACCCAGCACTTCTAGCCACCAGGCACCCAACACCTCTAGCCCACCAAGCATTCAGCACCCCAATCTACCAAGCACCCTAGCTCAGCCTCACCTGCCTGAAACTCACTCATAGCCAGGGGAAGTCCCCCCACAGGAAGCCTGTTTCATGCAAATCTGGTGCGACTCATTGTACTCGACATGGAAAGCCACACAGTGCCAGCCGTCCATCTCAGTCCTGTAAATAGCATTGTTTCTCGTGGTGACATTTCGGAGCTCTCCTCCCCAGCGTCCAGGTGTCTCTTCCGGGTCTACGTCACGTTTCAGTGAGGATTTGCCCACAGCAGCCCGTGGGCTCTGTCCTATGCTTCTGGCATTGCCAGTTTACTCTCACCCCCCAGCATGGGCAGCCCCAGGCTGGAGCTCATCCCCCTCCATTCCACGCTGGCAGCCCTGGCCTGGCTGGGGACAGGAGCCCTTTCTGGAAACTTCCAGCCAGGGTCCCTAGGCCCCATGGCAGCCATGCTGGTCCTGAATCAAGTCACAGTGGTCTCCCGCTAACGGGGCCCAGGCCATAATCTAATCCCACCGGGCTGAGCAACCAGGCCAAGTCCCCAAGGGAAAGGTGCAGAGGGGCAGCGGCCTCCACCCGGGCCCCCCGGACCAAGTGCACCCAGGAGGGTGCTGGCACCCGGCCTCCAGCCCCTGGCCGGTGGAGCAAATGCAGTGGACAGGGGCCTTGGCGGGGGAAGGGCTGCCGTGTGCCACACATCGGTGCACCACAGGGACGAGGGGCACAGAGGGGCAGGCACAGCCTCCCGCAGGGGCGACCCGTGAGGCTGCAGGCCCCCTTCCCCGTGGTGCCCCCTGCGTCATCTGACGGGCTGCTGCATCTCAGTTTCAGTTTTGGGTGCTTTTTTCGTTTTGTTTTGTTTCCAGAAGGAGCGCACGGCTTGCAGGGTGCTGCCCCAAGGGTCTGGTCAGGCCCCTGAGAGGACAGGGGAGTCTGTGCCGCCAGTGGGGCAGGGTGTGGACGCCTCCGGAGACAGCTGTGGGACGTGGGAGCCGCACAGGCAGACCTGAGGCGCAGGCAGGGAGCTCTGCGCTCAGAAGGCTGCAGGGCACTGCAGCCTGGGCCGGGGGTGTCCCGGGCCTCGGCCCGTCCAGGCGCGTCACCCAGCTTCCCAGGTCACGGTTCGCAGCCCCTGAAGCTCGGCCCAGCCCCAACTAATGGTGCTGAGGATCTGTAGGTCAACACCTGCCTTTATTTCTTGTCTCTCTAGTGGTTTAGCAAAACCCTGGCCCAAAATAAAAAAGAAAAAAGGGCCGGGCTGAGGCTGAGTGCGCAGGTCCCAGGTCTCACCCTCAGCACCACCAGAAGAAAGAGGGGGCAGTGCGGGGACCACGGGACCCAACACCCCCAGAAGCAGGTCAGCAGCAGTGGCCTGGGCCGAGGTAACACTGTCCCCAGGGCAAGCGACAGGCCCGGGTCCCGGCCAGGGCTCTACCTCTGCCCGGCCTTGAAGGCCGTTTGCAGTTCACATCCACGTGGATCCCGGTCCAGCTCATTAAACACAATCCCCTTCTCTGCCCAGGCTGCCTGCCCCTAAACACTGGCCCTCACCTCCTGCCCAGGTGGACACGGATGCCCCAGGGCTGGGGCTCCAGTCCCCACTCTCTGCCTCCAGCCTCCGAATCCCCTCCCCTCCCCGCACCCCGCAGACCGTGATCCCAGGCGCCGGGGCGATGAGTCTGAGCTTGTTAGAAACACAAATTCTCCAGCTGCCATCAAGTCAAATCATCAGGAGCCCTGGCAAGGCTACAGGGATAAAAAGCCCTTCAACACGCTCAGCTGAGCGCAGGCTCCTACAGCCACCGTGGAAGTCGATGTGGACTAAAACTAGAAATTCCATTTAGTCCAGCTAGCAGACACCGTAGGTATCTTCCAGGAAGGGTTAAAGACATCAGATTACAGTGATCCGTGCACAGCCAGGTTTATAACAGCACAGCTCAGAACACTCAACCTTGGGAGCAGCCTCTGCATCCAACCACGGATGAATGGATTAAAAAATGTGGCACTTACACACCATGGAGTACTACTGTGCCACGAAGAAGGATAAGAGTCCTTTGTGGGAAAATAAGGCACCCTGAGAGCACGACGCTGAGCGAGCTGAATCAGACCCTCGAGGTGGACGTCATTAAAAACAGAGAAAATGAGGAACAGGGAGGCCTCGGACACCGTGGGACCCGGTGGCTCCCGGTGGGCAGCCTCTGCCCTCTGCGGAGTCCGGAACGGAGCAGAAATGCAAGGGTGCCGTGCCGAGGGCAGAGGGCGTGAAGAGCCGTCACCAGGAACAGGTGACAGCGTCAAAGCCAGCGCGCTCCAAGTCAGGTGCGCCCACAGCACCTGCAGCCCCAGCGCTGGAGGCCGAGGCAGGCGTGTGTCCGAGGCACAGCAAGACCTTGTCTCCACAGAACCAGTAAGGCCGGGCCACTGCGTCCGAGCATGGTCCACTTCAGGCCTCCTGCGGTCCACAGCTGCGGGAAATCCCCTCCGCACCCCGCACCCCACCAGCACCCCGGTGCTGGGCTGCCTGGGCCTCGCGGCCTCCCCTCCCCGCCACTGCCTCCTCCTGAGGTAGAAAGTCCCCCACGTCCGGGTGCCCTGGGCCTGAACCCCGGGCTGGCCCATCCCCGCCACCCGAGGAGCAGCGGCCAGTGGGCAGAGCGCGGCTGGGGCCCTGAAGCCGGCTGCATCCTGAGAGGCTCCGGGCTCGCCCCAGAGGCCCATCCCGAGGACGCCCCAGGCCGCGCCGGTGTCCCCGCCACCATCATCCTGTGTCTCGCTCTTCCGGGCGACCACCCCCACTCCTCACTGTGACTCTGCCCTGTGCTGGCCTCCTGCTGACACGCCCTGGGGATTCCTTTCCTGCAGGAGGTTCTGTTCAGGGTGAGTCAGCTTCGGAGCCTCTCAGATCCAGCCTGGTGACTTTTCAACCCTCACAAATACCTGGTGTGTTAGGGTTATTCCCACAGCCATCATCATCTTCACCATCTCATCACCATGGCTGGCCCCATCATCACTAGTGCCATCCCTGTCCCCACCTCCCCCATCCCCACCTCCCCCATCCCCACCATCCCCATCCCCACCATCCCCATCTCCACCTCCACCAGCTCCATCACCAACACCGGGAGGCCAAGGCAGAAGGACCACTGCCTTCATGGCCAGCCTGAGCTTCGAAGGGGGTTCCAGGCCAGCCTTAAATACAGCGAGACCCTGTCTCAAATAAACAGGTAAAAGCTGACTGAACAAACAAGCAGCCACATGAGCAGGCCTGAGTAGTAACCGGCTACTTAGGGTTAAATAGATCCTAACTTCCCTATCACTAGGAATATGCAAATTTATTAGACGTTTATTTTGGCATTCTAACCTAGGACTGTTTACCTACAGGTGGGCATTTCCTACTACGTTAAAGGACAGCCTATTAAGCCACTCCAGCCCGCGTTTAGGGACCACAGAAACTGGAGAGAGAGAACCTGCCCAGCGCCACCCAGTGGGCTGAGAGGTGGGGACCTAACTCCCTCCTGGCAAGGCAGTCTGTGCCACGTGGGCTCTGCACAGAGGCAGCAGGGAGCGTGCTGAGGCTCGAGGCTACTGGGGACCCCTGCAGTGAGCCCCAACCTCCGGCCAGGTGTTAGGGCACAGAGAAAAAGAGTTAAGTGGAGGCAGGGGGACCGGGACCGTCACTGTTCCCAAGAACCGAGGGCCCGGGGCGGCCAGCACCTGGGTCTCCTGGGGTGGACTCCAGGGCGCTGGCCTCAGGCTCACGCGGCCGCACCCTGGCACACCTGTGGCCTTAGCAGGCTTAGCCCTCATAGGTGGCAGAGGGCAGCAGCCTGGGAGACAATGGGGAACCTCAAGAGGGTGACACCAGTGATGCCGGCCCCCATCTGCCCCTCTGGGAGGGAATCTAACAGCAGGCCATGGTCCTCAGCACAAAGTGACTGAAACCCGAAACTACTTAGATAGGTGCTAACAGAAGCCTGAGAAGGGCCGGCCTGGCTGGACACACAGGGGAAACCTGTGATGCTGCTGATGCTGAGACTCCGGAACCAGACAGAGGTGCCCACCAGGACAGACTCCTGCAGCCACCTGCGTGCAGGGCCCGAGTTCCAGTCTGACCTCTTCCTAACCGGCCGGAAGTCCAGCCCACTGCCCCTCCCTGGACCACAGCAAGGTAGACAGAGGTGCTGACTGCACGGAGCAGTCCAGTCAGCGCCGGGTGGGGTGCAGGGTGGCCCAGGATGGGAGGACAGGCCGCGAGCCCCAGGCAGAGGCGCCAGGCGGCCTCAGGATGGCTGTGTGGCCTTCACTCCGGTCAGAATCCCGGAGGCTCCGCGTGCCCAGGGCGGCCTCGCTGGGCACAGGCATGTCCTTCCGGCTCCCCAGGAGATGCCATCAGGAAGCCAGGTCAGGAGCTCTGCAGGGCTGCAGGCCGGAGACAAACACTAGCTGCAAACAGCTGGCAACCAGCAGCGGGCGTCCTGGCCCAGGGGCAAAGCCGCTGGGCTCCAGGCCTGAAAATTTAAACCGGAAAACCCATCTCTTTCCTGCCAGAGCGCTGAGTGCTGAAGAAATGCATCACAATTACAAAATTCTTGAAAAAGCAACCACTCTGGAAAAGTCTTAACAAAGCTCAAGAATTTATTAAGAATTAAAAATACTGTAAATAAGCCATACAGTTCATTTCACAGTAAACTAAAGAAATTTTTTTTTCCTTTCTTTTAGTTTTCAGGTTTTTTTGTTTTTTCTTTTTTTTTTTTTTTTGTTTTTGTTTTTTTTCTGGAAGGGCAAGACAACCATTAAAGAACAACATGGCTCAAACAGGAGGGAGTTCAGGAAACAGGTACAGAAAGACAGGTGGGGTACACCCACACCATGGCGGAGCCCCACCCTGGCCCAGCCCTCCTCACCCACACCGCTGTTAAAATAAGAGACGGTTCGGCCTCCACTTCCCCAGGAGACCCCACACAGCACCCCGGGCACCTCCTGAAGACCCCACCCTGCTGCCCGGGGTTCCAAATCCAAGGGCCTGGTGTTCCCTCCCTGCTGTGCCCAAGAGCTGGCATAGGTGGAGCACCAGGGACCCTGCGCCCTGCACCTCCACATCCCGGTGCCCTGCAGTTACCTTCGATGTCACCGGAGACCTGGGGAAGGGGGCAGATGCCCAGGCCACCAGGGGACCTCGGGCACTGATCCATTTAACACGAAGGTGACCCTACCCATCCCAACTTGGCTGACACCGGCTGTTCTGGCCACTTTTAAGAGGAAGACAGTGAGCAAGAGAGAGACCACAGAACGCCGGTCGGCAGGATGAAGTGAACAGACCAGAAGAAAGCAACACGAACATTCCTTACAAACAAGACAAAAAAGTGTGTGCCCCCCCTTTTTGTTTTACGAAGGGGTCTCTGAGGTCAGCGTTAATCTGCTTCTGGGACTAGGGCTGTGGCCGCTGTCGCTTTCCTGACACCAGACACTGCTCTGTGAGAGCCCGTCCTTCCCCGGGGACCAGGCCCCCAGGACGCAGGTCACACGTGCGGCGATCGCTCGAGGTAACCAGGCACAGGACTGCAGTGCCTGGTGACCGGCACACTCTTGGGCCCTAGAAGCGGGGCGCGCACCCCCCCAGCAGGAGACAACACACTTTTTTGGTCATGAGAAACCGGCCTGGAAATCCTTGCCCTGAACACTCAACAGCTTAGAACTTCTCGTAAATCCTCTCGACCTCAGCGGACAGCCTGTCCAGGTCGCTCCTCAGCGCGTCCAGGTTGGCGCTGGTGCCCTTGAGCTCCCGCTCGTTGCTTTCGATCCTGACCGAGGAGGCGACCAGGCTGTCCACGGCAGTCCTGAGCATCTTCAAGTCCGACTCCACCTGGCTCACCGAGGACTTGAGCTTGTCCAGCGAGGACAGCCTGTCCAGCAGGTCCGGGCTGGGCGGCTGGGCAGCCGGGTCCTCCCTGAGCAGTGCATGTACCTGCTCACGCACCCGCTGCAGTGACTCCACCGTGCCGGGCAGCTCGCCCACGCTCCTCTTCAGCTCCTCCACGTCGGCGTAGAGCGCCAGCTGGGCCTCACCCAGGCTCTGCACCGTGCTGGCCAGCCCGGCCCTGTCCACCTCGGGCCCCAGGCCCTGCAGGCGGCTGTGCAGTGCGGCCAGACGCTCCTCGTGCTCCTGGCTGCTGGACACCAGCAACCGCAGGCTCTCGGCCTGGTGTGCGGAGGCCTCCTGCAAGGCCTGCACGCCCGACTCCACACCCTGCAGCCTAGAGTCCAGGGCCTGGCCCTTTTGCAGCAGGGCATCCACCGCGTCCTCGTGTTCAGGGCCAGCGCTCCGCCCCATCCGGGAGGCTTCAGCCCTGAACTGGCTCAGCTCCTCCTGCAGCCGCCTGACCTCGTCCGGAAGGTTCGAGGCGGCCTCCTCCGAGCGCTGCAGCTTCTCAGTGAGGCTCCGCAGGGCCAGGCGCTCGGCCTCGGCCGCCTCCCTGAAGGCCTGCTGCTCCTGCTTGAGGCTCACCAGCTCCCGAACCTCGCTGTAGACCTCGGCCTCCAGGGTCTGCAGGGAGTGGCGCAGTGCCGCCAGCTCCTCGCTGCGGGACTCAGCCGAGCCCTGCATCTCCCGCACTGTGGCCTTCAGGGCCTGCAGGTCCCGCCTGTCCTCCCCAGACTCCTCTAGCGCGGCCACCTTGGCCTTCACCTTGGTGATCTCCTCCTGGCCCCGCTTCTGCACATCGGTGAAGATGGCAATGTTGTCGTTGATGGACTTGGTGAGCTCCGTCAGCCTCTCCTCCACCGTGTGCTCCAGGGACGTGAAGTCCCGCTCGCGGGCGTCCCTCACCACGTGGATGCCGTCTGACAAGTCCTTGAGGATCTCATTCTGCAGCTTCTGCAGGACCTCGTCGATGCGGCCGAGCTCGCTCTCCCCTTGCTTCACGGCTTTGTCTGTGAGGTCCTGCTTGTGCTGGGAGCTCCGCAGCATGGACTCCAATGTCCCCAGCGTGGCCTGCAGGGACTGCACCTGTAACCAAGACCCAGATGTCAGCCGCCGAAATGCCGGGCATGCCTTATGTAATACCGCACTTCCTGTGTCTCCATCCGCCCAGCCTCCGGGGCCCTACTCCCCAGAACATGCTGCAAGTGTTTTGGGGAACCTCCTTCCAAGCACAGGCCAGGAGGGCACAGAGACCAACCACAGGACGCTGCCAAGCACTGAGCCCACGCACGGCCTCAGGCAGCCAGGCCAGAACCCCAGCATTTCTGACCCAGCTCCGGGGAAGTGGGCAGGGCGGCTGGCGCACACCTGTAAGCCCAGCACCCCAGAGGCTGTAGCAAGAGGGTCCCTGTGGGTCGGAGCCAGCCTGAGCTGAGTTCAATGGCCCGGACTAAAAAAACAAAGAACTACGGGGGAGCCTCGCCTGGAAACACCTCCTAGCACAGCCTCCAGCTGAAAAGCAGGGGCTGAGCTACAACTCCGCAGAACCACTGCGAGCCCGTGCTGATTCTGCCCCGCGCCACACGCCTCTTCTAGGTACGGCCTGGCCCAGACCCTCCCAGGGAGCAGTTCACTTCGCTGCTGTGGGGCCGGATGACTCGTAACTGAGTCCGCCCTGGTGTGCCACATGGGGCTCAGCTCCCGAAAAGCAGCTGGGGGCTGACCCTGTCCGGTCACCAGGTCTAGGGACTGGTCACAGCCTGCAGAGGAGACACGCCCTGAGCGTGTGACCTGCAGGACCACACTGGGGAGAATTCTGTAAGACAATCGGCCTGGCCATCTGCATTCAGCAGCTACATGGCACTGGAAAGGTGGTAAACACCAGAAACTACTGCCCCCCAAAAAGACAGAAAAGCCACAACTTCAAGGTTTGAGAGATTTTTTTTCCATATACAGTATGCGAGTCTTTCAGAGACCACTTTACAACCTGCAGTGACATTTGAGAAGAATCAGGGGGGCTGCTCTGGCCTGCACGAGACCCCTGCACTGCAAATGAATGAGCGACAGCACAGGCTCCGGCAGCAGAACTCAAACCCTCGTTCCGGGCTTCCCAGCCGAGTCCAGAGGGTCCCAGGACCCTCCTCAGTGCCACTCCGAAGCACAGGATTCCAAATGACAACAGGCTGGGGACCGCTCTGTGGTGCCGGGAAGTCACTCACTTTCCAGGAGCCGGGGTCTTGAGGCCGTGGTGGCTCCACTGGTGATTTTATTAGAGGGGGCCATAGTTCTGGGGGCACCAGGACATGAGCCGATGTCCCTGACTGTCTGGACAGCCTGAGTGGTGGGACAACACGCGGGGGGGGGGGCCACATCGGGGAACCTGGGGACACCCTCAGCCCCCGCCTGTCAGGGCACAGTAGTGTGCAGTGTGCTTCTTCCAGGAAGACTGGCACTCTGGCTGGCACCCTAGCCTGAGGTGGCTCTGCGAAAGGGATCAGGTCAGATGTTACAGACAAAAGCCCCACGTCATGAAGACTGGTGTCCCTGTCACCTCCTGAAAGGAGGGTGCATTCTCCACCTAAATTTGTACGCAGATGATGTGCGCTGGATCTGTCTGTCCTCCCCACGCCCTCAAAGTGCCAGCCCAGGCTGGCAAATGCCAGGGTAGTGTCGGGTATTGGCACCCCACACCATCTCAGAGCCCCTGCAGGACAGCTCAGTCCGAGGCCGAAGTAGAAAGGTCTCCACAGTGCACTTCGTGCCTGGAAAAGAAGCTGTTGACTCCCCAGAGACCCTGGGCACAGAGGATTGAGACAGAAAAGAAAGAACCAGAGACAGATCCCTCCTCAGGGGGAGCGGCTCCCTGCCATCGCTGCCAGGGCAATGTGGGGCCTCACATGAGCAGCGAGCATCGTCCTGAGCACCAGACTCCCCCGTGCCCAACTGCGGAGACCACTGGGTCGCCCTCTGGCACTGGGCACCAGGAAACAGCAGCGTGGTGGCACCGACTTGGCTCTACCACCAGGTCCCGACCCAGCTTCCCCGCCCTGCAAGGGTGCTGTGCGGTGGTATCGCCTCGGAGCGGCCCGGAGAACCGAAGCCATGGATCCGAAGCTACTTCTCAACACCACTGCTGCTAAGACCTGACCTCACTCCACACCCACACTCGGCGCTGCAGGTAGAGAACCAACCGTGGCCACGTCCTCAGTGCAGATTTCCTGACCAGGACCCCTCGGAGATGCAGGCCTCAGCCGCCCACCAAGGCACTGCCCAACACTGTCGGTGGCACTGGGTTCCAAGTCAATGGAGCTTGTGAGCCTCTACCCAGTAGCTTGCGCCGAACCCACAGCCACATGGGTCCAAGGCGTCTGCAGTTACCAGTGGGCACCCCACACCCCGCACCCCAGCCCTGCTGCTCCCTAGCTGTGCAGGCAGCGCGCTGTACTCGGGTGCCAGCCGGCTTAGCGGTGCTCTGAGTTCTTGGAGCTGGGCTGGGGGGCAAGAGGTACGCGGTACAGTGCCTGGCACCCAGGAACCGCTGGATTACACCACCTTGTGCCAAGGAAGGCTGCCACTGTGTCCCCAGCCATCATTCTTCTGGATGAAGCTGTCCTCTCCAGCTGTGGGCGGGAAACTAAGCCCCAAGAGGAAAGCGGGCATCAGCACCTGGGCCTGCCGGAAGATGGACTGAGGCAGAGACAGGAGGGACCCACAGGGCCCACTTCCCAACCCACTGAAGACGCCCTCCGCGGGCCTCCACTCCCCGCTTCCCCTCTGCCACTTCCTGGACTCAGCTGCTATTGGTGCTCTGCTGAGGCTCGAATTCCCCCTCCTGGACCACTGGCAGGTGGGTGGCCCTGCCTCAGCCCCCCAGAGGAAAGGAAGGAAGCCCCACACCCACCCTCTCCCTGACCTGCATGGGGATCACCCCAACCCACATATGTACGCCCACGAACACCACTGTGGCTCCAGCTCCTCCCCACCCTCCAGGGCCTCCACACAGCCACGCGCCTATCAGACTTCCACGAATACGAGGACTGAGGGGCAAGGAGGCCGGGGAAAGGCAGCGGGCTGGCGCGACTGCGGCAGGGCACTGGGCTTTCAGCATGGTTTGCCAATCAGCACAGGCAAAGCAGCAGGGCCTGGCTTCGCCCCTTCCTGAGTCCCTCCCTCGGCCTGAGGCTTCGGCAGGCTGACTCATGCTGGCTCCAGAGAGGAAATTCCTGCTCCAGCACACTCAACAAAGTGCAGAGACTTGGCAGGCCCGCAAGCCTGCTGGGAAATGAAGGCAGCCTCGGTTCCGGGATCCCAAGTGGCGGGATTTTTTGTTTCGGTCTTATAACCGACTTTCATTGTACAAGGAGACCTGTGCAGGTGTGGGGCAGGATGCGATGAAGAAGCTGTGCTCAGGTCTGGAAAACCACAGCGGGAGGCTGAGAAGCAAACTGCTGGGTGCTGCTGTACCTGAAGCAGACCCCAGGACCCTCTGCTGCACAGCTGCCAGAACTGTTCACCCACGCCCTCCCCGGCTGGGGCTGTCAGTCCACTGCTGACTCTAAACCTCAATGTGCTGGCCTGGAAAATGGAGTCAAGCCCATCCATCCCACTCTGCTTTCCCTCCCAAGGCTGCCCTGGGGATCTGCCCACAGGATGGTCTCCAGCACTCCTGGTCCTGCACCCTGGCCTTTCCTAGCCCCACAGTGAGACGGGCCCACTAGCCCGGGACCAGGCAAGGCCCCAAACCCGGCCAGAAGTTTGCTAAGGACTTCAGATCCTAGCGCCCCTTCCTGGGCTCAGGCTAAGCCGCATCCCCGCAGGCAGAGGTGAGGCCTTGTCCCGGCTCTCGGGGACGCCCGGCTTCCCTCCCACCCTCTGTTGGTTCAACACCGACATCACCGAAGCAAGGGGGTTCCTGGCAGGCGGGCCGGCGTGCCCAAGGGTCATCGCTCAGCCTGCCACAGGCCTGAGCCCCCTCCCCGCCGGCCAGGCCGAGCCGAGCCCTTCTGCCCGACCATGAACAAAGGGGGATGGGGCCGGGGGCGAGCCGGGGCCGAGGGACGGGGACGCGGCCGGTGGAGACGGCTGCGGGCACCCACCTTCTGCTCCACGCCCCGCAGGCTCCGGCCCAGCTCGTCGCGCTGGCCGGCCAGGTCCTGGTGGCCGCGCCGCAGCTGCTGCACCTCCTGCAGGACGTGGTGCGCGCCCCAGCCCGCGAGCGCGGCGGCGGCCACGAGCGCCAGCCAGCACAGCGCGCTGAGCGCACGGCCGAGCGCGCGCGGGCAGCCGGCGGGGCCCGGGGCGGGGGGCGCGGGCCGGCCGCCCCCGCGGGGACCCCGGCCGGGCGCCGGGCTCTGGCTCTGCGGCCGCGCGGGCGGCGGCGCGGGCGGCTGCGGGGCGGGCGGCGGCTTCCGCGCCACGTCGTCGGCGCCGGGCGGGTGGGCGCCCCGGTCGCGGTCCCGCTCGCGATCGCGCTCGGCGGGGGTCGCGCTGCCGTGGCCGCCCTTGGGGCCCCTTTGTTTGGCCGAGGGCATACTGGCGTCGGGACTCGGGGCTGCGCGGGCGAGGAGAGGAGGCGGCCGGAGGAGCGAGGGCAGCACAGAGGAGGAGGACAGCGCCGGGACCGCCCCGCGCGCCGCGCCGCCCCGCCCCGCCCCGGAGGGGGCGCCTGCCACGCACGCGGCCGCCGCGGGGACCCGGAGGGGGCGGGGCGACCTGCGAGGGGCGGGGCCGCGTGAGGGGCGGGGCCACGGGAAGGGGCGGGGCCGCGCCTGGACTGCGCCGCCGGCCCGGGCGATTCGCGGGTGGGCGTGGTTAGGGGCGGGGCATTTGGGTTCCGCCCCAACGGCTGCCGCCGGGCTCGGGGAGGGAGGGAGGAAGTGGGCGGAGCTTCGCAGCCGGTCCCCGAGATTGACCACCGGAACCGACCCCCATGACCCCCCTACCCCCCGCTGTAGTCGGGGTTCCCGCACCCGACCCCGCGAACGGCTGCCTTCCCAGGCGGGTCTGGCAGGAGATCATGGGCCGTGAGGCCTCTCCTGAAACTCCCTGAACTACTTTGACCCCCGGGGGGTCACGCAGTCTGTCTGCGGGAAGCCCAGGGGCAGATGGCCTGCGAACCCCGCTTCCACAGGAGGAGTCACAGGGGTGCCGGGTCCTGAGCTCAGGGACTCGCCTGCCTTCCTAACTCTCAGGCCGCCTTCCCCTGCGGATTTCATAGCGGGGACACAGACAGAGCCCCCCACCCCAGGAACGCAGCAAAGTCACGCCCTAGGAAGCTGAGCACAGACTCACCCTATCGTGCTGTTTCAGAAAATAAAATTCCATCCTGAAGCCAAGTTCCCTCGGGCCTGTCAGGACCGTAATCTAGGTATTGTCGGGGGCAGCAGGGCACAGGGTGAGGGCCTCTGGGCCTACCTGTGATCCACCTGCGATCCACCTGCGATCCACCTGCGATCCACCTGTGATCTACCTGTGATCTACCTGCGATCTCCTGGAGTCTGCGGAGCTGCTGCTACCAGCTCTGCAAAACAGGCTTTAAAACTTAGACTTGTTCCTCGGGTGTTCAGTTGCTGCAAACTTCCACGGCCTAGCGCACCGCTGGCTCCCGCTCCCCCACCCAGAGGGCTGGTCAGAACTGGCAGACTAGTCGCAGAATTCAGGACTACATTCATTCATTTAGGCGAGGGAGGAAGAGAGAGGACTGGTGCCAGGAAGACTTGGCACCCGACTTGGCTCGAAAATGTCCACCATCCTGTCGTGTCCCCCACACACTGTTGGGTCCTGGAGAAGACCCCACACACCTCCTATGGTGGGATGGTGACCTGAGGCCCATGGGCACCTCCGTGTCCTCAGAGCTAACTTTTTTTCTGGTACTGGGGATGGAACTCACAGCCTGGCATTTGTAGGGCAGACACTTGTGCTGCTGAGCTGTATCTCCAGCTCAGAGCTAACTGCCAGTAAAGCCTTTTTCCTTTTGATCCAAAACCTCCCTCGATTTTCCCAGCAGCTGAAGAACACGGGCACATGACCCTGAGATGCCAGCAGCAGGCCCATTGGGTTTCTCGCTGTAGGTCACCTCCTCAGGCACTTTGCAAGCGCCTCTCATGGAGGAAGAGCTCCTTGGCACCTGCTCCCAGCAGTCCTTCCTGCACCAGCCCTGAGATGGAGGTCCACGGAGAGCTCGAAAAGTTGGCTCGGGGCTGCAGGTGGGGTGCAGGACGGAGGGTGCTTTGAGGTGAGGCTGGCATCGCAGGAGAGCAGGGAGGGCGGCCCGTGGGCCTGGGACGCCAGTCTCTGCCGAAACAGCAGGGGCAGGGCCAGAGGTGAGGTTGCAAGCAGCTTTCTGGGGCCCGGCCAGGAGGCAGGAGCTCCGCTCCCAGGCGGTGAGACCTGGAGAAACCATCTCTTTCCTTTTGTTTTCTCTTTTTTTCTTTTAATTCAGGCCGGGCTTGGACTCACTATGTGGTTCAGGCTGACCTCAGACTCACGGTGACCCTCCTGCCTCAGTCTCCTGAGCGCTGGGATCATTTTCTCTGTTTCCCACTCACTATCCTACTCTGGGGGCAGTGAATAGAAGATTAACACACAGGCTCACGGGAGGCTGAGGCAGGAGGATCACTGCGGCTTCAGGCCAGCCTGGGCAACACAGCAAGACCCTGGCTCAGCATCTTCCCTGCTGCCACATTTTGTTTCATCCTTGTTCTTGGGGCTCAGCATACAGACCTCAGGCCATGCTTGTGTGACCCAGACACGGCTGTGTCTCCTCCAGAGCCAGCTCCACGGCAGTGTCCAGTTGCCACCCCTACCCCTGTGTGAGTCCACACTAGGGAATTTCCCTTCTCCTCCTCCTCCTCCTCCTCCTCCTCGATTTCCCTGCTCCTCCTCCCAAAAGTGCTCTGGGTGAGGCGGATGTGGGATGCAAATTACAAGTCTGCCCCTATGAGCCCGCCCTGGCTGGCCGGGCTCCCACTGGGCGCACAGCCCAGCGCTAGGCTGAGCAGTCTGCGTGGCCCTAATCCGTCCTCCAGCCTGGAGAGCTGGGCCGCCCTCTCTCTCCCGCCTCCACAACCCAGTGCTGTAGGCCAGCAAATCCGGCAGCTTTTCATTCGGATTAGGGTCAGACCCAGCGTCTCCCCCACCACTCCAGAGTGTCCGGCCACCGTGTGAGACAGCCTTCCTTAGCCTCAGTCAGCAGAGCCCAGCTGAGCCTCCCGGTTAGACTGGCCACCCGCTGTCTGCTTGAGCACAAGAGCCAGAATGTTCCCCCCTTAAAATGTTAGTCACGGCCAGATATGGCAGTGCTTATTTGTAATCCCAGCATTCTAGAGGCTGAGGCAGGAGGATCGCTGCAAGTTTGAAGCCAACCTGGGTTACATAGGGAGACCCTGGCTCAAAAATAAATGAATTAATTGATAAAATGGAGGTCAGGTGACATCACACCACTCTCCAAAGCCCTCTGGTGGGAGTAAAGCCAGAGTCAGCGCATAGATGTCCCATGCTGCTCTTTCCCCAGTTACTGGCCCTGCCTGGGTTCTGTCCCCTTGCTGTCCCTCCCAACCCCAGTAGGGCCCTGCCTCAGGGCCTTTGTGACCGCCCGTCAGCGCCAGCCCTGGGAAGCCTCTTTGTGGCCTCAGTTCCAACACCAGCCCTTCCGTCCTGTGGAAGGTGGTGCTGTCCCCTGGGAACTGCCCTCCTGCATCCTCGTGCTGCCCACTGTCCAGTCTGCTTTCCTGACACGCGACATGACCGCCCGTGCAGTTATTAAAGGAGACCCCACACGGAAATTCGACTCTGCTCTGTCTTCTACCCCAGGGTCTCCGACGATGCCTGGCGTTCAGCAGGGGCTGTTACAAGATTCCTCTGCATGGGTCCTTCCCTTACATAATAGCAGTCTCCCCTCATCCAAACGCCCGTGTCCAGGGCCTTCCCTGATGAGACCTGTGCAGGGGAGCAGACGAGAGAAGGGAGCAGTGAAGAATGACCTTCATTTCTTGTTGGGAGCCACCACATTGCCGAGCCGCCGCATATAGCGATCATGCGGCCTGTGGTAAAGAGCAAAGCCTGAGTTAGATTACCCCTCCCATCGAGCACGTTAGTTTCCTGCTTACCGCGTAAACAACCCGCTCAATAATATGTTAAGCCAATCAGCTTGCCTTGCTTACTTTAATATGATTGGACACTGTATCCGTATATATACTGGTGCCACCCCTGGGGGGAAGTAGAAGCCCGGAAGGAGCCGCGGAGAGCGGACCGGTAGAGGCTTCGGAGCGAAGCCCGGAAGGAGCCGCGGGGAGCGGACCGGTAGAGGCTTCGGAGCGAAGCACGGAAGGAGCCGCGGGGAGCGGACCAGAGGAGGCTTCGGCTGGGAGCGATCCCAGGGCAGGCTGTACGGAGAGAAAATAAAAGAAAAGGTTGTCCACTGCCAGACTTTGTCGTGTGTCCTTCCTGCCGGCCGGGAGCGACATCGACATTTGGTGGCCCGTACGGGGAACAACTGATCACCCCCGAGACGTGGTAGTGGACAACGTTCCTTGATACAGCACTGCGAGACAGGTGAGCAGGGGATAAACCTGGGCCCTGGGTGGCGCGCACCTACAGGGTTTTTAGACTCCCCTCAGGCTCACGCGTAAGTGGCGGATTTTTGGGCCTCACGCGGTGAGTAACATATTAAATATGGGTAACGTACCGAGTAACGACACCCAGCCCTTGGTACAGGTCCTCCGGAAGCTCTTAAAGTCCAGAGACCTCAAGGTGGGACGCAAAACGCTGGAGAGCTTTTTTGAGGAGATTGATAGTTTCGCTCCCTGGTTCTTGCCCACAGGGCACTTAAACCTGCCCTCGTGGGAGAAGTTGGGCAGGGATCTTTCTCTAGCGGAAAGGGAGGGCGGGGCTTCGGTCTTCGCTCGGCCACTGTGGGAAATGATATATGCATGCTTGAAGAGCGAGGGTGGTTGCAGGGAAGGTTCTCAAGAGCTCATTAAAGTGCGTAGGGCATTCGAACAGGCCCAGTCAGGGAGCTCCCGGGAGGGGTCCGTCAAAGGAGACAAAGATATAAAGGAGGAAGACGGGGCTCAGGCCTCGGAGTCGTCTGACTCCGAGAACGAGGAAGGCTTAGACAACGATGAGACCAAGGAGCCTAGATGCCAAGAGGATAGGCCGCTCGATAAGGAGTCGCAGGGTTCTTTCCCAGCGTTGCGCCGCGAATTGCGCTCCGCTCAACTTGGTCTGCGGAGGAGTAGAGAGCTCCTGAGCGCCCCCTGGCGCGAGAGGGAGGCGAAGCCTTCCGCCCCACCTTGGGGGCTGTTCCCGGAAGCGATCCCTCGCCACGAGGCGGCCGCGTGGGAGCTCCCTCCCCTTTCGCCAGAACAGGAAGTGATGCACGGGCCCCCATTTTCCGCCCAATCACGGCCGCCGTCTTATGCTCCGCCGCCGGCGGGTCGGTATTTTTACAGGCGGCTTTGGCAGGGGGGACGTTTGTCTCATGAGGTACATCCACCACCTGGGATAGATAGTGGCCCCTACGGGATATTTCCTGTACAAGTAGCTATGGGCCAGGGACGTAATGCATGGGAGCCTTTTGAGATAAAGCAGATTAGAGAACTTAAAAATGCAGTTACAACCTTTGGGCCGACTGCGCCTTACACCATTGCCATGCT